AAACTACAGTTATTTATTTTTAGTTATTGAGTTAACCCTATGATATTTCTAAGCCATTTTGACATAGATACCAATCTATTCACCTATGTTCAGTACTGTTCCTTTTGCCTATAAAAGCCTATTTCTTCCTCAGTCATCTTTTTTATTGAATTCCTATCTTTAAAAAGGGCAGCTAGGTGGCACAGTGGATAAAGTGCCTTGAGTCAGGAAGACTCATCTTCCTGAGTTCAAATCTGTCCTCAGACACTTACTAAATGTGTGACCCTGGGCAAGTCACCTAACCCTGTTTGTCTCAATTTCCTCATCTGTCAAATGAGCTGGAGAAGGAAATGGCAAACCACTGCAGTACCCTTGCCAAGAAAACCCCAAATGGGGTCATGGAGAGTGATGGCTGAATGACAATTATCTTTAAATCTTATCACCTGTCACTTCCTAAGTCTTTCTTGATGACTTCACTTCTTAGTGACTTTTTTCTTCTTGGATACCACCTTATTTTAACCTCTGCTGCACATTTACATATCTGTTTTTTTAGTTACTTGTTCATGTGTCTTATGCACTAGTTAGTCTGTAAGTTCCATGAGGGCAGGGACTGTCTTATCTAACTTTTATATGCTTCAGCATCCAGCATAGTAAATGTTCTTTGAATAAATGTTCTATAGTTAGGGTGTCAGGCTATTGATGCCATTTCTTCAGTGACTTTAGACTGGTCCTAAAACTCTCTTGAAGTTGGGAAGTGATAGTGGTTTGGGAGCTCTTTCAACACATTAGGAAGAAAAGGTATGAAAACAATAAGGTGTTCTTCATGATTCTGGTGGAATTCTCTTTCCCTAGCGTATTGTGTAGCCTGTGAATATTTAAGAAGTGAGCCTGGTCACTTCACCATTCATTTTTCATCAGTACCCAGTACAGCTGTCATTGCCTAGGAAAGGATTTTGAAGGGTTTTCTCTCCTGAGTTCTTGGCATTACAAATTTATTTGACTGACAAGGGGTATGTGGGCAGTGATGAAGGGTAGAGGGAAATGCAGCATAATGCTGATGGCATTTTGTACTTTTCTGGCCACTTTGAGGAAGTCTTTGTAGATGAATTGGACAGGGTGATATTAAGAGGGAGTATAGTCCAGTGGAAAGAGCAGTGGGTTTGGTCATCTACCTTGGTTCAAGTCCTAATCCCACCCTCCAGGAGCTCTGTGAGTTTGGGCAAGTCAGTTAACATTTCTGAGCCTATTTGTAAGTAAACTCCACATTGGCAGGGATAGTGTCTCATCCAAACTTTATATTATGTCTAATCTAAACTTTGCAGGACTTAGTTCAGTACCTGGTACAGAATAAGAAGCTAGTGGTACAGTAGCTAGAGCCCTGTGCCGGGAGTCAGGAAGAACTGAGTTCAAATCCAGCCTCAGACACTTACTAGCTGTATGACCTTGGGCAAGTAATTTACCTCTATTTGCTTCAGGGACCTCAACTGGAAAATGGGGGTGATAATAGCACCTACCTCACAGGCTTGCTGTGAGGGTCAATTAGATAATATTTTTAATTAATTTAATTTTAGTTTTCAACATTCACATACACAAGATTTTGAGTTCCAAATTTTCTCCCCATCTCTCGCCTCCCCCAACCCCAAGATGGCATGCATGCTGATTACCTCTTCCCCTAATCTGCCGTCCCTTCTATCACCCCCCTACTTCTCATCTCCCCTTCCCCTTCTCTTTTCCTGTAGGGTAAGATAAGTTTCTATACCCCATTGCTTGTGTATCTTATTTCCCAGTTGCATGTAAAAAGAATTTTTAACATTTGTTTTTAAAACTTTGAGTTCCAAATTCTATCCTCTCCTCTCTCCCCAAATTCTCTCCCCTCCTCCATCCCCACCCACCCTCATTGAGAAGGCAAGCAATTTGATATGTATGTGTGTGAAGTCTTGTAAAACATTTCCATCATAATCATGTCGTGAAAGACTATTTCCCTCCATCCTATCCCACCCCCCATTTATTCTATTTTCTCCTTTAACCCTGTCCCTCCTCCAAAATGTTTGCTTCTGATTACCCCCTCCCCAATCTGCCCTTACTTCTATCACCCTACCCCCTTATTCCCTTTCTACCTACTTTACTGTTGGATAAGATAAATTTCTGTACCCAATTGAGTGTGTGTGTTATTCCCTCCTTAAGCCAAATCTGATGAGAGTAAGGTTCACTCATTCCCTCTTACCTCCCCCCTCTTCCCCTCCAATGTAAAAGCTTTTTCTTGCCTGTTTTATGTGAGATAATTTACCCCATTCTACCTCTCCCTTTCTTTCTCCCAGTACATTCCTCTCTCACCCCTTAATTTTATTTTTTATACATCATCCCTTCATATTCAATTCACCCTATGCCCTCTGTCTATATATATTTCCTCCAACTACCCTAATAATGAGAAAGGTCTCATGAGTTGCAAATATCATCTTTCCATCTAGGAATGTAAACAGTCCAACTTTAATAAGTCCCTATTTCTCTTTCCTCTTTACTTTTCATGCTTCTCTTGAATCTTGTATTTGAAAGTCAATTTTTCTATTCATCTCTGGCTTCTCAAGAATGCATTAAATTCCTCTGCATCATTTAATGTCAATTTTCCCCCCTCATTGATCACACTCAGTTTTGCTAGGTAGGTGATTCTTGGTTTCAATCCTAGCTCCTTTGACCTTGGGAATATCATATTCCAAGCTCTCCAGTCCCTTAATGTAGGAGCTGCTAAATCTTGTGTTATCCTGACTGTGTTTCCACAATATTTGAATTGTTTCTTTCTGGATGCTTGCAATATTTTCTCCTTAACCTGAGAACTCTGGAATTTGGCTATAATATTCTTGAGAGTTTTCCTTTTGGGATCTCTTTCAGGAGGTGAGTGGTGGATCCTTTCCATTTCTATTTTACCCTCTGGTTCTAGAATATCAGGGCAGTTTTCCTTGATAATTTCCTGAAAGATGATGTCTAGGCTCTTTTTTTGATCACAGTTTCAGGTAGTCCAATAATTTTTAAATTCTCTCTCCTGGATCTATTTTCTAGGCCAGTTGTTTTTCCAGTGAGACATTTCACATTGTCTTCTATTTTTTTTTCTTTTGGTTTTGTTTTATAATTTCTTGATTTCTTATAGAGTCATTAGCTTCCATTTGCTCCATTCTAATTTTTAACGAATTATTTTCTTCAGTGAGCTTTTGGAATTCCTTTTCCATTTGGTCAATTACGCTTTTTAAGGCATTCTTCTCATTGGCTTTTTGGACCTCTTTTGCCATTTGGTCTAGTCTATTTTTTAAGGTGTTATTTTCTTCAGTATTTTTTGGGGTCTCCTTTAGCCAGCTGTTGACTCATTTTTCATATTTTCTTGCATCATTCTAATTTCTCTTCCCAATTTTTCTTCTACTTTTCCTACTTGATTTTCAAAATTCTTTTTGAGCTCCTTCATGGCCTAAGACCAATTCATATTTTTCTTGGAGGCTTTGGATGTAGGAGCTTTGACTTTGTTTTCTTCTTCTGATTGTATATTTTGATCTTCCTTTTCACCAAAGTAAGTTTTTATAGTCTGAGTTTTTTCTGCTATTTGATCATTTTCCCAGCCAATTATTTGACTTTTTAGCTCTTTATTTAGGTAGGGTTATGTTTCCAGTGTGGAGGATGTACTATCCCAAGTTTCAGGGATTTTGTGTAGCAGTTTTCACAGATACTTCTAGGGACCTGTAAGTTTTCAGTTCTTCCAAGGTGGTATGATCTAAGGAGAGGATCCTGGCCTGTGCTCTGGTCTGTGAGTGACCACAAACACTCTTTTCTGCCCTGAAACTGTGAGAGGGGTTTCCCCTCCACTGCTGCTACAAGCTCTGCTATGCCAGTGGTCCTACTCACCCTAGGACTGCCACCCAGATCCAAGTATGGGCAAAGCAATGGAGTCCTGCCTCAGTGCTAGCAAAGAGATCCCTGTAATCTCACTCTGATCATTTAGACCCTTTACCATATGAGGCCTGAGAGCTCTGGAAGCAGCCACTGCCACTGCTGCTACCCTGGGGCTGTGGTGGTGCTTGGACAGGTCTGTGCTCCTCTCTCACCCAGGTCTGACAGACCTTTCCTACTGACCTTCTAAGTTGTCTTTGGCATTTGTGCGTTGAGAAGTCTGGAAACTGCCACACCTGCCAGTGATTTAGTCCCCTGAGGCCTGCTCTGGGTTTCCTGGGGCCTAGTCTGTGCTGGTGTGTTTTGTACTGGGCTGTGCTCCTCTCTCAACCTGGTGCACAGATCTTTCCTGTCAAGTTTCCGGGTTGTCTTGGGCTGGAAATTTATTTTGCTCTGTCTTTTTGTGGGCTCTGCTGCTCTAGAATTTGTTTAGAGTCATTTTTTACAGGTATTTGGAGAGGTTTGGGGGAGAGCTCAAGCAAGTCCCTGCTTTTACCCTGCCATATTGGCCCTGTTCCCCACCCCAGATAATATTTGTAAATATTGCACAGTACCTGCCACATAGTTGGCACTACCTAAATGCTTATTCCTCCTCTCCCCTCCCTAAGTGCTTAATAAAATGCTTGTTTCCTTGACTTTACATGTGTCTTCCCTAGTACTTAGGGCAGTGCTCTGCTCACAGTAGATACCTAATAAGTATTTACTAAATGAACGTTAAATAAATTGAGTGAATTGGGGTAACAATAGTTATACTACCACTTTCAACCATGGGGCTAGCCCCAGTCATCCTGATCTTATATCTTGCCACTGGACCCATATGGCTCTGGAGGAGAAGGTGAGGCTGGAGACCTTGCACAGACCTCCCTCACTTAATCCAATTCACTTGCAAGTCATGGAATCATCTTCCTGATGTCATGGTCCTTTTTAAGAACAAAGGACAAACAACAACTTTCAACTATAAGTAGGGTTGTGCAATAATATAAATGTGAGATGTTACTTATATTATTGTATGTCTCTAAAATGGCATCCAACTCCAAAGACAGGTAAGATTTGTTTTTCTTTTGTAAAATGTTTATCTTCTTTTCAAATAGGCCATTGGAAATGCTAAAACCACTCGAAATGACAACAGCAGTCGCTTTGGAAAGTACATCCAGATTGGATTTGATAAGAGACACCACATCATTGGGGCCAACATGAGGACCTACCTATTGGAAAAGTCCAGAGTTGTCTTTCAGGTGAGTGATGCCTTTTAGGGCTTTTTCAGTGAGATCCCTAAATGCAATTACTCGGAATATTTACTAAGAGATTGCTATGTGCCAAGTTTGTTCTGGGCACTGGGGATATAACATAAAAAATAACAACCCCTGCCCAAAGGAGGTAGCATGATGGGAGAAATATAGCTACATGTAAGTTTATATATTTATATATGCATAAAAGTTTATATATATATACATATATATGTTTATGTGTGTATGTATATGTATAAATAAACTTTTATGTGATTGTATTTCTCCCAACATCATGCAACCTCCTTTAAGCAGGAATTTTTTACTTTTGTGTTTTTATTCTCGCACATATATTTATGGGAGACAGAGAGAGAGAGACAGACAGAGAATAAAATGAGAACAAACCATGGTATTTAAGGCACATATAGTGGGGCACATTTATTTAAGCAAGGCTTCTTGAAGGAAGTTAAGAAACTTTTCCAAGACCAGGAGATGAATCAAGCCCAGGAGTGAGAGAGGAGAACCCATCATTCAGAGAACTGAAGAGAACTAGGAAATGCCACAAGCTCCCTTAAGGCATAAGCATAATCATTCCCTCTAATATTCACTAGTGCCTCAGTTTGTTCATTTATAAAATGTGAACAATATTATATATAGTGTTATAACTTAGCTAGCATGGTATACCATATGCAGAAACACACACACCCCAATGTAATTTTCTGGAGAGGATGTGACTAGCAAATAAGGGGATCAGAAAAGGCCTAACGTGTAGGTGCTAAGTGCTAAAGAAAGCTAAACTTTTATAAGAGTGAGGTGGTTGAGGAGGAAATTTATTCCTGAAATGCAGGGCAGCCTGTAGAAAGGCATGGAAATGGAGATGAAATGCTATGAATACATCATAGTAAGTTAGACCAGTTTGCCTGCAAAGTAAAATGAAGCAAGAAGAGATATGTGTAGTATACCAGAAAAGGTAGGCTGGAGCCAGATCTTGAAGGACTTTAAAAGCTAAAAGGAAACTATCTGTCTTTTATATTAGAAGCTATAGGGAGCCACTGGAGTTTTGTGAGCAGGCAAATGATGATGCTTTACAAATATCACTTTGCTAGCTGTTTGAACAATGGATTGGAGAAGAGACAGTCTGGAGAAAAGGAGTTCAAGTAGGCAACATTGGGCAATAGGTCTTGAGAGACTAAATTGGGGTAGTAGCTTTGCCAATGGAGAGAAGATAATGGATATTAGAGATGCTTTAGAGCAGAGATTCTTTTTTTCCATTTAAAATGTTTAATTTTAGTTTCAAATTCTCTCCCTCCATCCACCCCCTTCCCTATTCTTTAGAGAAGGCCATATGATACTCATTATACATATGAAGTCATACAAAACGTTTCCACTTAGCCATGTAGGGGGTGTGGTTTGGGAAAGCAAAAAAAAGCAAAGAAAGAGATAGGCTTCAATCTACATTCAGAGTCCATCAGTTCTCTCTCTGGTGGTGGATAGCTTTTTTTTTTTATCATGAGGTCTTTGGAATTGTTGTGGGTCATTATATTGATCAAAGTAGCTTAGTCTTTCACAGGTGATTATTATTACAATATTGCTGTTACTGTGGAAAGTGTTCTCTTAGTTCTATAGAGAAGAGATTCTTAATTTGGAGTTTGTGGGCTTATTTTTTAAAATATATTTTGATAATTGCATTTCAATATAATGGGTTTCCTTAGTAATCTTATGTCACTTATTTTATACATTTAACAACATTATTCTGAGAAGAGGTCTATAGGCTTTAGCCAACTGCCAAAGGGAAAATGAGAAAGAGAGAGAGAGAGAGAGAGAGATTAAGAGTAAGTACACCTTCACTGGATATTACATGGACACGATTTATAAATGGGTTAGATATGGGGGAAGATGGAGAATGAGAGTCAAGGAAAACTGAGATCATAGACCTGGGTGACTGGAAGGATGATGGTGCCCTCAACAGAAATAGACACTTAGGAAGAGAGGTAAAGTGGGCAGAGAGTTCAGTATGGAAAGGACCCTTTGAGTTTGAGATATCTATGGGACATCCAATGAAAAATGTCTTCTAAGGTATTAGGTGAAGAGGGGCTAAAGCTCAGGAGAAAGACTCAGGCTGGATGTATAGATGTGGGGAGTCATCTGAATTGAGATGATTATCAGACCCATGGGAGTTAATGTGATAACAGAGAAAAGAGGACCTAGGTCAGAGCTTTGGGATATACTCAGATTTAGAGGGTGGGGCATCATAGATGTATCATAGATACGGAGCAGAAAGGGACCCTAGAGGCCATCTCATTTAATTCTTTTCTTTGACAGATGAGGAAACTGAGGCCCAGTGAGGTGATATAACTTTTCTAAGGCCACACAGATAGTAACTGTCAAAGTTGGGATTTCAACCCAAGGTCCTTCATTTCTAGAACTAATTTTCTTCCCACTGTACGACCCAGCAAAGAGTTTGGGAAGGAAGCACCTTCCAGATTCAATGTACCATGTGAAGCCCTGGGAAATGTGAAACTAAAACTTTTCCCTTAAGTTCTTGCTTTTTATTTCTCATTTTTCCCTGGAAAAAAATTAGAAAAGTAAATTAAATTTTTACTCTTTTCATTTTTTCCATAAATAATTCCCTCCCATACCTTCCCACCCCCAGAACTAGTCTTTTCACCTTTGCTCACAGAATGCCTTGGTTTTGGGGTGCTGGATTGGTTTTTAATACTTCTTTTCTGGGTTTTTTTTTGTGGAGCTTTCAGCAACCACGTATCTAGTGTTTTGGGGATGGAGGTCTCTGGCACCTGTGCTAGCCTGGCACATGACGGGTGCCAGTGGTCTGGGAATCTGCTTCTGGCAGTGGAGATCCAGTGTTTCTAGATCCCCTGGCCTGGCCCATAAACTTCTAGCTCTTCTGGGGAAAGAGTATGATGGGGCTCAGACGATCAGATGGAGGACCTGAAAGACATTGTTCCTCCTTGGGCTTTTGCCCAGCATACCTCAGACTTGGAGTTTGCATCTCTATTCCCTCGTGTCTTTGGGTTTCATTTCCCAGCAGTGTCCATGGCACATTTGTCAGCAGTGTGCGCTTAATGCAGGCTTTCACAGTGATTTTTATGTGCTGTCCTCCAGCCTCCTATTTCCCTTCCTTTCCCTTATGGCATGCATGGTAGAAGGAGCACTGAACTCGTGGTGCTAAACACTGAGTCACAGGACCTGAGTTCAAGATCCAGCTCAGTCATGTGGATTACTTCAGCAAATTGCTTCAATTCTCTAGGCTTCAGTTTCCTCATCTGCAAAATGCAAAGCTTGGACTAGATGATTTCAGAGGTCCTTTTCAGGTGTGAGATACTTTTTATTGTATACTACACTAGACTGAATTTGTCCTAATAAAATATACAGTATGAAGGATGTGATAATTCTCTGTATATTCTGTTCTAATGCCAACACACATTTGCAGAGAGAGCTGTTAGGGAAACAATCAATCAATACAAGCCTTGGTTTGGAAACTCACATGATACAATGAAAAGAAAACTGGATCTGAAGTCAGAAGACCTGGGTTCAAATCATACTTTTTAAAAAAAAATAATATATGTTTATTTATTTTTAGTTTTCAGCATTCACTTCCATAAGACTTTGAGTTCCAAATTTTTTCCCTATCTCTTTTCTCCGCCCACCCCAAGACAGTATGTAAATTGATATAGGCTCAACATATACATTCATATCAAATCTATTTTCATATTACTCATGTTGTAAAGAAGAATTAGAACCAATGGGAGAAAACACGAGAAAGAAAAAACAAAAAGAGAGAGAGAGAAAATAATATGCTTCCATCTACATTCAGACTCCATTGTTCTTTTTCTGGATGTGTATAACATTTTCTGTCATGAGTCTTTTAGAGTTGTCTTGGATCCTTGCATTGCTAAGAAGAGCTAAGTCTATTAAAATTAGTCATCACACAATGTGGCTATTACTGTGCACAATGTTCTCCTGGTTCAGCTCACTTCACTCAGCATCAATTCATATAAATCTTTGCAGGGTTTTCTGAAGTCTGTCTGCTCATCATTTCTTATTGCACAATAATATTCCATTATATTCATATACTGCAACTTGTTCAGCCATTCCCCAACTGATAGGCATCCCTTTAATTTCCAAGTCTTGGCCACCACAAACAGAGCTGCTATAAACATTTTTGCGTATGTGGGTCCTTTCAAATCATACTTCTAATGTTTACTACCTCTGTGACCCTGTGCAAGTCATTTGACCTCTGTTTACCTTAGTTTTTTCATCTGTAAAATGGGAGTAATAATAGCACCTATTTTGGGGGGTTGTTGAAAGGACCAAATGAGATAATAATTGTAAAGATAATAAATCAGCACAGTGCCTGGCACATAGTAAGTGCTATATAAATGTCAGCTATTATTATTATCATCATGACTTAACTTTTCTTGGTCTCAATTTGCCCTTCTATAAAATGAAGACATTGGACTAGTACCTTCTGACTGTAGATATATGGTCCTATGATCACAACCAAGGGTAGAACTTGGGGGAGGGAAATGAGTAAGAAGGTGGGACAGCTTTTCCAAGGGATTGTTTCAAGGTTTGTGGGGAGGTCTAGATATGCAATGGAGCTTGACTGAGGGGGGAGAAGATCCTACTGTAATAGGAGAGATAACAGGTAAAGCATGGCAGAGAGGTGGTATTGAGCATGGCCAGGCAAGAAAACAGCTGTCAGGGTTGAGGTTAAACAGGTATAGCTTAGTAATTTTTATCTAAGTGTGGAAAATAAAAATTTTTTGAATTGCTTATTATTCCCCTGAAATCAGCATGGAGGATTTGTAATCATCATCCTCATCCTCATCACTAGAATTTTATAGTGCTTTAAGGTTTGCAAAACACATTTGACACATGTGTATATATATGTGTGCATGTGTATATGTGTATATCGTATATATTATATGTATCTTCCTATATATAAATCCCACACACATCTACACACCTACATGTAGGTACATGTACATACACACATAAATTTTATTTTATTCTAACAACAACCGTGTAAAGTAGGTGTTATTATTTTCTGCATTTTATAGAAGAGGAAACTGAGACTGAGAGATGTTAAGTAACTTGACTAGGGTCACACATCTATTAAGTGTCTGAGGCAGGATTATGAACTCAGGTCTTCTTAAGTCCACCTGATTAACCTTTTTACCTTTGATTCCCATCTTCCAACTAACTACATGCATGGCTAGTCACTTTTAAATGATAATATTCTGGCTAATCTGAATTCCACATCCTCTTCAAAGCTTCCTAAGTTAGGTTTCTCTCTGAGTTCTTGATGTTCCAAAAGTTTCTAAAGAAGTTATGGGGACAGCTAGGTGGCACAGTGAATAGAGCATTAGCCCTGGAGTCAGTAGGACCTGAGTTCAAATCTGACCTCAGACACTTAATAGCTTGTGACCCTGGGCAAGTCACTTAATCCCAATTGCCTCCAAAAAAAAAGAGGTTATCATTTTAGTTACCCCTTTTTGACTTTCTGTGGTGCCTTACTCCATACTGATGCCTAACAATGTCTAATGAATTTAAAAAGAAGCCTTTTTGTTTTAGTTCTAATTCTGTCTCAAGTTGATAACCCCACTACCTTTGTCTATCAGTACTGCAAAGGAAGTGATTTATTTCAATGTTTTGTACAGAATAAGCATTCCATTCAGCAGCATTTATTAAACACTTACTATGGGCAAGGCCTTTAGGGTGCAAAGACAAAAAACAAACAATCTCTTTCCTCAAGAAGCTTACATTGTAATAGGATAGACATAATGTAGTCACAGATAAGGAAATACAAGGAAAATTAGGGATACAATGCTTTAACAACTGGAGGTGTCAGAGAACATTTCACCTAGAAGGTGGCTCCTGAGCTTAGCCTTGGAAGAAGACAAAAACTCTGTGAGGCAGAGGTGAAGAGGCTTTATATTCTGGGCACCAGGATATCCATGACTTGTGGGAATCAACAGAGATGGCCTCTTGAGTTTTGGGAAATAACTAGTATCCCATTTGGCTGAAATCTAGGTTTGAGGAGAATAATATCAAATAAGGACATAAAAGTTAGTTTGGAGCCAGATTGTGGAGGGCCTCAACACATAGGCTGAGGAGTTTGCCTTTTAATCTATTGGCAATGAAGAAATACTGCAAGTATTTAGGTGGAGAGATGACCTGTGCATTAGAAAGCTTCTCTTAGTGACTGTATGCAGAGTGAAGTGAGGAGAGAGAATAAAAACCGGGAGACCCATTAGGAGGCTACTGTAATGGTCCAAGAAAGAGGTGATGAAGACCTGGATTAGAGTGGTAGAGAAAAAGGAGAATATCTGAACAGTGTTGTGAAGAAAGAATTCACTGGACTTGGGAGGAGATTGGATATATATTGAAGGCCGGTCAGTCAACAAACATTTATTAAGCTTCTACTATGTGCCAGTCATTGTGGTAAGCACTGGGAATACAGAAAGGGGCAAAAGACAGCCCCTTCCCTCAAGTACCTCTAATGTGAGAACAAGAGGGAAGAGAGGATAATTCTGAAGTTATGAATCCGGGTCAGTAGGAGGATACTTGTGTCCTCAGCAGAAATAGGAAGATTTGGTTGAAGAGCAGATAATGAGAGTTTGAGATACCAGTATCCAAGAGATGTTCATCAGGCAGTTAATGATCTGTATTGAAATCCAGAAAAGTGGTTAGAGCTGCTTAGAGATGATAATTGAACCCATGCAAGCAAATGAGATCACCAAGGGAGAAAGTATAGAAAAAGAAAACAGTCCTGGACATTGCTTGGGGATGAATAAGCAATGATTGAGCAAAGAGACTGAGAAGCAGCAGTCCGATAGGCAAAGGAAAAACCCATCAAAAGCAGTATCAGACAAGCCAATAGAGGAGAATATACAGGAAAAGTCAGTCAACAGGGTCAAAAGTTGCAGAAAGGTCAACAATGATAAGGCTGGGGTAGGGGTTTGGAGTATAGACTTAGATTGAGCAATTAAAGAATTTTTGGTATCTGGGAGAGCAATGTGAGTTAAGTTGTGGGTTTGTGAGCCAGGCTGCAGGACGATGGCAACAAAGTGAAGGGTGAGGAAGCTGAGGGAATGAATGCAATCTTATTTTTACTTTGGCCAAATTGACTGCTTTGTTGCCTAAACACTTGCCTAAACAGCTGCCCTATGGCAGCTGGGCTTCTCTTCATGGCATTCCTTTCTGGAAAACCTTTAGCTCTCTGTTCTATCTCTCTAAATACCATCTACCCTTCGTCATATCCAGTTCCACTAACTCCATTAAGTTTTCTATGATTACCCAGGCCCCAGATGGTCTTTGTCTCCTTTGAAGTCCTATAAGCTTCTATTTTGGATCTTGTCATGTAATAATTTCTCTTGTGTTTTTCTTTTCTCTCTCCAGCCAAATTATAAGCTATTTGAGGGTAGTGGACAGAGTCCTATACCTTATACCATTTCATACACAGTATCTTGCATATGTCAGATACTCAGTAAGAATTTATCATGTTGATTAACACGATCTTTTATTAAACAGAAGTGATAAGCGCTTTGGAGCTGAGAATCAAATTTATTTCATGTAGAGTCATTTCATCAAGACATGGATAGAAGATGGGTCCTTGATGGAGAATGGACCATTTGGGGCTGAGAGTAGAATGTGGTGAGAATGGCAGATTAGGAGGAGAGGGAGACTGCCCTCACCAGTTGATGCGCTATAGAATAGGTAAAGGAAGAATATTGATGGTGGCTTCCCCTAAAACAGCTTAACTTTCTTTTTTTTCCTCCTTCAGGCAGATGAAGAAAGAAATTACCACATCTTCTACCAGCTCTGTGCAGCAGCCAGCCTTCCAGAGTTTAAAGAGCTTGCACTCAGTAAGTAGCCCTGTTGTATATTGGGTAACAAGAACTCCAAGTGGCTGCTATGGTAGGCATTAAACTTATAGCACTTTTCACATCTCAGTTGACTACCAGTTGGTGTAGTAGTCAAGATTTCCATCCTATGCAGGAAGGTACAGTGGAAACAGTGCTGATTCTGGAGTTGGAGGACCTGGTTTCAAATGTTCCTGTGATCCTTGTTACCTCTGTGACCTTGGACCCCTAAACCTTAATTTTTTTTTCTGTAAAATAAGGGCATTAGAAGAATTCTCCCCAGCTACTGACTGAGAGGTGATGTAGATCTGGACATATCTTGTTGGCCATGCTCAATGTGAGAATTTGTTTTGCTTGACTATGCATATTATTACTAGTGGTTTTTTTTCCCTTTTTTTTTCTTGGAGGTAGGGGAGCAGAAGGAGAGAAAATAAATATTTAACAATTGAAAAATTAATTTATTAAAAAAGAGATTGAATTAGATGGTTTCTGAAGTTGTTCTACCTCCAGACCTATGATTCTATAATTCCATAGGACAAGTCTTTGCTCCTGTCTAACTTGTGACCTTGGGCAACTCATTTAGACACTGAAAGCCTTATTTGCCTCATTTATAAAATGAGAATAACAATAACCTTCCTACCTATCAGTGATTCAGTAAACATTTATTAATGGATTGCTCTGCTTGGCACTGGTAATACACAATCAAAAAATGAATTGATTCCTGCCCTCAGAGAGCTTACATGCTGTCGGGGAAAAAAGCCATTGAGAAGATCACATAAGTGATGGGAAGGTGCTACATAAAACAGAAATCACTGTAGAATATAAAATATAGTAATCTTTGTGGTTTCTTTGACAGACATCACATTCTGGGCATTGGGAGGAGCACTTCCTTCCCATGAAGGCTTTGGAAACACACACAGGTGTGAGGAGACAGAGAGAGACAGAGAAAAAGCAGAGGAGAAGTGAGGAGAGGGGAAGGGAAGAGGGAGAGAGAGAAGGAGGGGAAGAGGAAGGAGAGTGGAAGACAGAGATACATGTGATATGTGACTTTTATAAAGAACTCACTGAATCTCAAAAATCATATTCATAAAACACAAACAGTGGCTGTGAAGATAAAAGACAGCTTTAGAGCAATGAACCCACAGAAGGGTAAGCTTTGACTCAATGGTATCTGATCAGCCCTAAGCAGTATGTAGCTATTTTGGACATCCATGCTCTAGCAGACAGAGGGGAGAAGAATCAACAACAGAAAGTGTCTCTGCCTGGCCAGCAGGATGAGTCACTATGGGTATTTGACAAAAAAAGTGAAAAGCCAACACTTCAGAGGTCTCAACATTTGGGGAGCTGTTTGGGGAAACTTTCAGGTTTTGCTTCTTCAGGTTAAGAGTCAGAGTAGCAAACTTGACTCTCAGAATCTGGGACCAAAATTTGTTCTTCTAGGACTTTCCTTCTCCTAAGTGAACTTTATCTTGTACTATTAGTCAGCTACTCACTAGTGATCACAGAGGAGGCACCTGTCAGGTGTAAGGGACTAAAAGACTTAAGAGTTACATTTTATGTTGTTAATGCTTTTGTAATGTTGACCTTGATTCATAAAACTCTATGTAGATGGGTGGGCATTTTTTTTTTGGTCAAGCATCCATCTAGTCTTCCATTCTCTCAATTCCATCTTTCACACAGCTGCCATGCTATTCCTAAAGCAGACTTGACTATGTCACTTTCTTGTTCAGAAAACTTTGGTGGTTCCCTATTACCTACCTCTTTAATAAAATGTAGACTACTCCATTGGATCTTCACAGTCTGGCTCCAGTCTGCCTTTCCAGGCTAGTTATATATTAGTTTCCATCATACACTCTGCACTCAAGCCATACTGACTTGAACATATTGTTCCTCATACATAACATTTACCCTCTACCTTCATGTTTTTACATAGCCTGCCTCTCCCTGCCTCTCCCTGCCCACCCCCCCCCCCCCCCGTGCTTGACATACTCTCCTTCTTCATCTCTTTTCTTGGAATTCTTAGCTCCTTTCAAGGATCAGATCAAGTTCATCTTCAAAAGGCCTTTCCTGATTCTCCTTAACTGCTAATCTCACTGCTCAAAATCACACTCTGTGTATCTTGTACATGTCATGTATTTATTTATCTGTGAACATGTATTCTCCCCTCATCCCATCTGTTCCTTGGAAGTTGGGACAGTCTCACTGATAAATCTGTCTCTCCAGCATCTAGGGCATGCTTGAAACATAGTGAGCATTTAACAGATGCTTCTTGATTGATTAGTCTGGTGTGACAAGCATGTGGAGTGTGTGGAAGAAAGTGACAGAACAGGATGGTACCAGGTTGTGGAAAGCATTTGATGCTAGAGAAAGTTGTTCATGTATTACACAGTAGGTAAAGGAGTGTCATGACCAGATCAATGCTTAAGAAGGATTATTCTGACAATGGTATGAAGAATAGATTAAATGAGTGGATATAAATGGTATATGAGTGGATATAAAAAGACCAGTTAGGAGGCTATTTCAGTAATACCTGTTTGCCAGTGAGGGCCTGTATCAGGCCAGTGTCAGTGGGAATAAAAGAGGTGACAGATATGAGGAGTGTTACAAAGGAGTCATCAGCAGGACTTGTGGATTGATTACTTATGAGAAGTGAGGGAGAAGAATTAAAGGTGACATCAAAGTTTCTACTCGGAGGCAGATTGATCAGTAGATACTTGTGGAAGAAATAATGGCAACATAGTTATAGAATACCAAGCTCTCCCCAGTAGGACCATTGCAGGTTAACTGGAAGACAGTGATTAGGAAGACAAAGTTTAGTTCATGCTCCACTCCTTGCCATCCAAGGGAAGTGGTGGAGGGGAGAAGCCTCACTTTTGTGGCAAAGAGAAAGATTATTCCAAAAGGCTGATTTTGTATGAAATGAGCAAATAACAGCAATATCAGTTTGGGTATAATTGGGCCATTTTGTCCTAAGTACAACTTTAAAGTAATAGGAAACAAATTGTCTTAATTCTTTTCCACTTAATGCAGTGTGTTGATGTTGAAAAATGACTTTTTCATGATGCATGCCTTGGAGTCATGCAGAGATCTTTGGGCTTGTGGGTAAAACAGTCCAAAACAACATAATTTTATTAGTAACTCATACTTCTGCATTTCAATATGCCATCCAAGAGGATCTTGGAGCTAAGCGAGGATGCTTTACTGTGCTCTTGTGCCCTGACAATAAAGCTTTCTTAGGACATTACAAGTAGATTAGCTATGTGGTTGCAGGCATCTGCCTTTGGTAATCTGCAGTACTAATGTCTCTGTGTGATTGGGAACCACAAGTAGCTATCCTAGTAACTGCTGATGGGTCCAGTGAGGATCTTTATCCTTTCATAGCATCCTTTTCTACTCCTTATAAAATGTACTGTGTGTTCTTAAGTTACAAAAATAACACTAATAAGACTCACCATTGTGAGGAGAGAACAGAGCATCTTAGTATATTTCTGAACTTGTTTGGGTATGATCATCTTCTTTCCCCTACCAAGGTGAGGATGGGTTTGGCTCTTTCTCTATTTTGAGATGGATTGAGTGAAATGTTAAGTCTGACATTGGAACATAGCACATAGAGAGATAGAAGCCTGGACTACAAGTCAATGAGTAGCAGTGTGATGTAATGGACAGAGCATTGAACTTGGAATCTGAAAGGTATGAATCCTATTTAAGACACTTAGTAGCTGATTAACTCTGGGGAAGTGATTTAGTTTTTCTGGCCCTGAGTTTCATCTGTAAAATGAGGAGAGTGAACTTGATGACCTCCAAGTACCCTTCCAATTCTAAATCTATAAGCCTTTGAGTCTATAAACATGGTGGGTGCTATCCTACTGCTCAGTGTCATAGATTCTCCATATCCAATCTAATTCAACAAACATATGCTAATCACTGAGGATACAAAGACAAAACAAAACAAAAAAAATGGTCCCTACTCTCAGGGAACTTACATTCTGTTGGGAAGGGGGGGAAATAGGTAAATAAATATGTGTCTAATAATTGGAGGAGGAGGAGGAGGAGGGAGAGAGTACTGACAACTGAGGGGTTCAAGAAAGGCTTTCTCTTAGGAGATGGGACAAAAACTGAAGTTTTTTGAAGAATCCCTAAAGGAGACCAGGGATTCTAGGATGCAGTGGTACAGTTCAGAATTGGGGAACAGTCTTTCAAAAGGCACAGCAATGGGAGATAGAGCACTTATTTTGAGGAACAGCAAGCAGGCCATTTTGGCTAGAACTAGAATGTATAAAAAGGAATAATGAATACAAGCCTAGGAAGGAAGACTGAAGCCAGATTATAATAGGCTTAAAATGTCAAGCTCAAGAGTTTAAATTTCATCCTGTGGGCAATAACATGCTTCAGAGGGTTCTTGAGGAAGGAAATGATATGCTTAGACTTGTGATTTAGGAAGATCATTTTACCTACTGTCTGGAGGATGGATTGGAGAAAAGAAAGACTGGAAAGAAGACCAGTAAGAAGGTTGCTGCAATTGTCAAAGTGAGAGGAGAAAAAAAATCAACATAGATTAAATGCCTGCTCTTTGACAGTCACTGTACATAAAGGAGATAAGGAACAGAAGGCCTGAATTAAAGTGGTGACCTTGCGAATGAAGGAGGGGGCAGATGCTAGAGATATGATGGTGGTAGAGGTGATGAGACTTGGAAAGTACTTGCAGAAGGGGGTTATGAGAGAGGGAAGACTCAAAGATTTTTCTAAGATTAGAAACTAAAATTCAGTTAATGGAAGAAGTTATTGAAGGGGATTATAGTTTTATTCATTGTAAGTATTTAGTAATTGATATCCAGCAAAGCCAGTGCGATACCATTTTCCTTGTTGACATAAAACTTCACTATGTAATGTATTTGTACATGTATCAAATTTAGAAAAACATAGAAAATGAACATCCTTTCACTTTAAATATCCTGAGTGTGTATTTGGAATATAAAGATGCCCTCTTTTTTTGTATTTTTCCCTTCCCCCCTCCTTCTCTCTCCATTGCCCTCTTCTCTTCTCCATCCTCTTTTTCGTCTCTTCCCCTTCCATTTCCTCTTGTTCTTTTTCCATCTAGAGTCTGACATTGGAACATAGCACATGGAGAGATAAAAACCTCTACTATAACTCAATCAGTAGCAATGTGGTATAGTGGATAGAGCCATTGGACTTGGAATCTAAAGGGTCTGAAATAATTCATCTCAGGACCATTTCTCTCTGAACTCGGTCACATATAAAAATAAGAATAAAACATCATCATCATCATCATTTCTGACTTCTGTAAAGAGAAAAGTCACAGTCTTATTTTTTGTTATAATCCATGTCTTCATGGCTTGTATTTGCTTAAAAAGACCACTTTTAATTGGTACAAGATGTTATTTGCTATTTTGTATTATCCAGTCCTCTCCCCATTCTTTCAATGTGTGTGAATCAGAAGTCATCTGAACTTTGTGACTCTTGTGCCTGCTAGTAAGGGAAATAAAATACTTGGAATGAGATGTAAAAAGAGGAGAGATCCTGTTGGACTGTAACATGAAAACTGCATGTGAGAATGACATTTTCCTGACACAGCTTTTTTACTTTCTCTCCCTCTCACCACTCACAACAGCATGTGCCGAGGACTTTTTCTATGTTTCTCAAGGAAGAGACACATCTATTGAAGGTGTGGATGATGCAGAAGACTTTGAGAAAACTAGACAAGCCTTCACTCTTCTTGGTAAGGTTTTTTGTTTTTGTTTTTGTTTTTTGGAGGGAGAGATGGTAAGGGAAGAAGGAGAATTAGAGGGGGAAGGTATCTGATAAAACATCTTTGGGGAGAAAATCTTGGGGGAGGGATGTCCTTTTCCTTTCACTAGATTTGAAAGGATTCTAGGGTTTCTAGGATGTACTCTCTACTTACAGAGACAGCAAAGTTCAGGGGTTCTTGTAGTCACTCAGAAACATTAGCTTCTCATTCCCTCAAATTTAAAACAAATCTTGAGTGAGATTGATTAATATTCTGCCTCTCATCATCAAAGCATGGATTTGGAAGCAGCACAGTGGAAAAAACCCTAAACTAATTTTTGGGAGACCCAGGATTTGGAATCGTAGAGACCTTTAGAGTTTATCAAGTCCAACCTTTCCACTAGGAGGGTGAAGGAAATCCTGCTAGAATAGCTCTTAACAGATTGTCATCTAGACTCTACTTCAGTACCCTCAGTGATGGAGAGCTCCCTCCTTGTTTTATGAATCTGCCTTGTTTCATTGTTGGCATGCCTCCTGATTGTTTAAATGCATTTCTTTACATTGAACAAAAATCAGCCTCTCTGTGACTTCCACCCACTGGTCCTTGTTTTGCCTTTTGGAGTCAAACAGACTAATTCTAACACCTCTTCCACAGGCCAGTTCTTCAGCTGCTTGAAGACTAAGATCATGAATCCCCTTATTCTTCTCCTAGCTTTGCCATTCACAAGTGATTTCCCTTCTCTGGGCCGCAAAATCTTCTTTATATAAAACAAGAAAGTTGGACTGTATTTGTTGTTGTTGTGTCGTTTCAGTTATGTCCTACTCTCTGTGATCCCTTTTGGGGTTTTCTTGGCAAAAATACTAGAGGAGTTTGCCCTTTCTTTCTTCAAGGACTATATGGTTACAGTGATAATAATTATAATAGCTAACATTTTTATAGTACTTTACATATATTATCCCACTTGATTATCACAACAATCTTGTGAGGTGATATTATTATCCTCATTTTACAGATGAGGAAACTGAGTCCCAGAGAAGTAAGTTTCAGAAGCAAGATTGAAAGTCAGGTCTTCTTGACTTCAGGTTCAGCACTCTGTCTATCCATTACTTTAGGCTACATCCTAAAATGAACACTAGTGCCTTTTCTAACTTAAAAATTCCATTACTTACTAATTCTTATTGACCCTTTATTGCTTTGACAGGCTTTCTCTTGACCTTATAAGATAGATGTTTCTAGAATATGGTCCTCAACTCTTTGTAGTTCCATGTGCAGTTCTGTGAGGGCCAGGGCATGATATCCTACTCTGTTATTGCTGTGGCTTTTAAATTCCTAATTGCAATCATTAAAGCAATCTTTATTATGATTTAATTTTATTGTAATTAAAAGAGAGGACAAATTTTCACCTCAATTCAATGGGAACAAAAGTACTTCTAGAAGTCTCCTACAACCAAGAAGTTGCCTTGGCCAAAATGTGGGGAGGGATTCATTAAGAGCTTCAATTTTGTCCATAGTTGATCCCCACTAGGGAAGTTGAGGATGTTTAAATGTACTTCTGTACCTTGGAAGGTAAGCAGTTATCATATTTATCCCCAAAATGTAGCTGTTGAAGAAAGGATGATGGATTGGACTGAATGGTCCACATGGCTAACCCAGGTTGGTATCTTTTTAGCTTGGAGTTAGGTCCGGATATTACACAGCAAGCAGATCCCTGTGTAAGGAGAGAGGAAAATTGGAATCTCAGCTGCTGAAGTCCATAGATACTGTTCAGTTTTCCCAGTAACTGAAGGATAGATTTAACTTGTTTTCCTTCCCTCATGTGCCCCTCTGCATTCCCTCTGTCCTACCACCACCACCCCAGGGCTCCCCTCTTATGCCCTTTTATCCAAGGGATGCAGAGAGAAGGGCATAGGTTGGAGGGGTATGAATGGCCCACAATATGACTGGCCCCTAGCATCACCTTTCTGCTCATAAGAAAAGAGACAAGGCCTTTAAAAATTGTCCTTATAGCAGTCATGCTGAGCAGAAAGTATGAGCCAGTACTTGGGGATGTATCATTCCTTGGAAGATGATTAAATCTAGTGTAGAGCTTTAGAATTGGGCTCTTGCTGAAAGACCTCAGTGAATAGTAACTAAAATGTTGGATGTACCAAAAATTTTTTAATTTTATATTTAATTTATGGAATAAAACAAGCATTTTCATAATATAGTACAATAAAAAAGATGATTGTACATGAAACTACAAATCCACCATGCACAACTTGCTATTCCCTTCAAATATACAACAAAATTATGTAAGCTTTTTTCTTTATTTTCTTCTAAAGAAGGCTACCATTAGATACAAATATATATGTGTGTGTGTATACATAGTATACATATACTATGTATATATGTGAAATTATTCTATGCCTACTTCTATTTATCAGTTCTTCCTCTGGATGCAGATAATGTCTTTCTTTATCCTTTGTCCTTTATAGCTAATTTGGGTATTTATAATAGACAAAATAAATTATTTGCTCAAAGTCATTGTTAAAACCATATTGCTGTTCCTGTATATGATGTTCTCTTGGTTCTGCTCATTTTGCTCTTCATTATTTCATGCAAATCTTTCCGTATTTTTCTAAAATCAACCTGCTCATCATTTCTTACAGCACAGTAGTATTCCCTCACAATCATATACCACAACTTGTTCAGCCATTCCCCAATTGATGGGCATGCCTGCAATTTCCAGTTATATATACATATATAACATATATACTAAAATCTTAATGCAATTCTTAGCTTTAATAGCTTAAAACTGTACTAAGATTCTAGGGACACCATTCTTTAGGGAACTTCTCTCTTTTCACATACCTCTGAACTGTACACTGTGAAATGAAAGAACCAGGGCACAGGCTCTAGGTCACTGGTAGATCCTGCAGAGATGTTCACAAAGCAATGGGCAAGAATCCCACACAATGAGGAAGTGCAGTTGGATTGAGATCTGCACCAGTGGAGAAGGTATACACACAAGAGTCAGGAGACTCTTATAGTATATTGAATATGCCCAATTTCTTATTCTTTTCCTTTTTTTTCCTTACTCAAGGATTTTGTTGTAGGCTTCTACATTCAGGAGAACCTTACAGATCATAAAATCATATAACTCTAGGCCAGCAATGTCGTATAATCTGTTTCTCAGCCAGTACAATAATCTCTACCATCCTCTGGCAGAGGCACCAGTGGGGCTGGGTGACTGCCTCCAGAAAGGTCACACTACATTAAAAAGACACCTATCTGGGGCAGCTAGGTGGCACAATGGATAGAGCACCAGCCCTGGAGTCAAGAGAACCTGAGTTCAAATTAGGCCTCAGACACTTATTAGTTGTGTGATCCTAGGCAAGTGACTTAACTCTGCCTCCTAAAAGAAAAAAAGAAAAGAAACCTATTCTATTTTTGAACCTCTGTATTTGTTAAAAAATTCTTATATTAAGTCAAAATCTACCTTCCTATATACCTTTCACCCATTGGCCCTGGTTATATTCTTTGGGGCCACATCAGAATATATAAACCTCTTCTTCTGCATTGAAGCCTTTTAACTATACTGAGACAGCTATCCTTTCCTTACCTAAATTTTGTTTTTTTAAAGTAAATATCCCAACTTCCTTTTAAAAAAAATTTTATGTGATCTGGTTTCCAGGACCCTCATCATCATCTACTCACCGTTCTCTGAATATTTTCTCATCTCTCAGTGTCCCTCTTAAAGTGTTGCTCCCAGAGCTGGATATGTAGCTTCAACTTGTCCTGACCAATATGGAACAGTGGGATTTTCACTTCCTGTAAATGGAATAGTCTACTATTCCTAATGCAGCCTGAATTTGATTTTAGTAGTGATGTCACATTGTTGGCTCATAATCCCGTTTCTGTCTTTCTGAGGCAACCTCAGTAAAGCAGTCATGTTAGGGGTCTATCAAAGCAGCGCGTACTTACTTGACAATGAATTAGAGAGAAATGAAAAGGAAAACATTGAAAGGCCCTCGTTAAATGGATATTCTCAGGCCCTATGGTCTCCTCTCCTCTGCTACTTTGGGCATACTGGGGACATATACAAGACCTACTATGAGCAAGAAAGTTCTAAGTTTTGTTTCACAGGTAAATATAGGCCAAGGCTTTGCTTCCTGGGGAGGGGGCGGGGCACACTTATCTTCATGCCTTATCTTGAAGCACCTAACTAGATATAGCAGTGGTGTTTTACCTTGCTCTCCTTTGACCAGTTGGTTAAATATATATATATGTATGTATGTATGTATGTATGTATGTCATATGCATTTGGTCCTTGAGTCTTTTGAGAGATGAAGGTTGGGGGAAGGGTCCATCAGTATTAATCAAAACTATATTGTGATTGCTTGTGTGGGTGGGTGTGCATTATTCACTTCCTGAATGATCTGTGACACTTTTTTTCAATACAAGCTGGCTTCCTCTTGTCTCCCAGCCTGCATGCAGGGAATACAAACTCATTCTCCTACTAGCTTAAATAAAACATGGGCTTTAAGCCTTAAAAAATATCCCATTATAAAAACTACAAATGTGTTTTTTCCCATTATCCATATCTAGTGGCCCTGCATTCTCCTGGAAAATTTAAATTTAACTGTGTATATTTATGTCAAAAGAGATTCAGAGAAAGATGCGTATGAGCTATGTTTAAGGTGTGTTTCTGATAGGTGTGGTTTAGCAAGAAAGAGTTTGTGAAGAGGAGGGATGGGGGGGAGGTGCCAATAATTGGCTTGCCATCACAGCCCTTATCATAACAATCCCCTGAAGAGTCTTCTTTGCTCTCCCCTGATAGCCCTTTAGATGTGTCACAGATGTTTGCAGGAGATTATATTTGGAGAACGATTATTACAGATAAATTACCTCTCCTTATGGAACCATAAAAATGTCCTTAAAACGTTTGCTTGAAATGAAGTCCAAGATAAGTCTGTATGATGGCCACCTCTGTTTTGCTGCCAAACAAGTTATAATGCTACCTTGACCTAGCCAAACTGACCCAGGTGGTTCTGGGTGAGGAGTTAATAGTTCAGCCCAGGAACCCCTTTCATCCTCAGTGATTACTTGTTGAGGGTCCTCTACATTGTCTGCAAAATTGTTGGCTCTGAAGGAAAATCTCACACACACACACCCACTCTTTAAGACAGCTAAATCTCACTTTCTGTCCTGCCACAGAAATTGGGAATAATTCATTTCTTTTCCTTTACCTTTTAGGAGTGAGAGAATCCCATCAGATAAGTATTTTTAAGATAATTGCTTCTATCCTGCACCTTGGAAATGTGGAGATTCAAGCTGAACGCGATGGAGATTCCTGTAGCATATCAGTGAGTTGTATGACCATGCCAACCAAAGAATCCATACTATTTACTGTGTGGTTTTATAGATTTATACTATTTGTGTACTGCTTTCCACTCCAACAATATGAGGGGTTATTTATTTCTAATGATGATGTTTTCTTAGCCTGCACTTGGACAACTGATGTGATTTACTAGGTGGTGATACCTTTTAAAAGGGACTAACTCCTTTTCAGCCCATGTACTTTCTGCAATGGAATTGAAAAGTCACCTGACTCCTCTCCCTAAGGGAAGAGACCCGATGGTCTTAGGTTGGTAATATCACCACCAAAACCAGGTCAGGGCTGGGTATTTGATGTGTACCTATGGATATTATCAAATGCCTCCAGGCACATTGTACCCTATGAAATGCTGTCACCAGAAAAGGCTTTGTGATTTGTTCTGTGAAGTTTGGATTCAGTCAAAGGGCTGCACTTGAGGACCTAGGGGGCCACAGGTGGCCTCAAGGCCACAGGTTCTCTACCCCTGTTATCCATTGTGGGGATGAAAAGTAGCAGATACCATCCCTGGTCTCTGCCTTCAAGGATTTTTTTTTATCTAGTTAGATAAAACACATACATGTGAACAGCTGTATAGACAAGGCAGAAGTTTCAAGCAAGAGATACTTATACTAATGCCAGATCAGATTATTGTGAAGAGCTAGTCTTTGTGACACTAGCACACCTGAGGACTACATTCATCAGCACCTGTTTTCATGACTGTGTATCTAACTAATTCCCCAACGAGATTACAGACTTCTTGAGGGCATGTAGCAAGGATGATGTTTTATATTCCCATAAGGCAATGCTAACATAATAACTTGTTAAGTCGTTATGCTCTATGAATACTAGTTGGATGACTGACATCACCTTTTAGTACCTTAAGAGAAACCTGGTAAATTCAGCCAACCAGTTGGCTACTTTTAATCAGTTAGTCATTTGATCAGTAAGCATGTATTAAGCACTCACTAGATGCCAGCCACCATGTTCAGTGATATAACATAAACCTATTCTGGATTTAATCCTTTGCTACATTCAGTGGCACATACAGAAATATAAGGCATAGTCCTGGATCCAAGAAGGTTACAGCTTATCTGGTGAACTCTAAACTCTAGGGAAAGTCAATAGAATCATAGAAAAATGAACTGAGCTTTTTTCTATGTGTCTTAACTAGGTGATTTTTCAGTTCAGCCAGTGATTATTGGGAAGCGGCATAGTTTCATCAAAAGAATGCTGGACTTGGAGTTAGGAGATGTGGTTACAAATCTAGGATCTGGCTCTTACTATTTATGTAACTCTAAGTAATTTGATCCTACTGTAATTAAATGATTAAACCTCATAGTTCTCATCTGTAAAGTGGGGTTCACAATACTTGCCCTATCCACTTCACAGAGGTGCTGCAAAGCAAATGCTTTTGAAATCTCCATGGTGCTATACAGGATGTCCCAAAAGTCTTAGTATTTGAAAACTTTAATAGCTGGGAGACTTTTCATTGGGAAACTCTTGGGTGGGAGAGATTCAAAGGAGTGGCAGATGATGCTCCCTAGGGCATTTTGGTGATGAAAGTGAAGATCAGGCTGAAAGAAGTTCCAGATGATAGTAAGTCAAGGTTAATGAAGAAGACGAAAGAAATAAGGGATAACCACAAAGCCTTATGATCCTGCAGGTCTCCTAATTCTTCCTCTACAACCCTGTCAGCAGAAAGACCCTACAGGGTCTTTCTCTTAAGACTTGGTTTTGACTTACTGCTACAAGATAAACATAAGTGGCTCTTCTGAACAGGCTTCCCCATAGTGAGCAGAACATCCCATGCTGGGCAGTTTTTATTTTTAATTAAAACATGAAAATGTGCTCTGCAACTGCCACTGTTACCTTGGAGATGCTGTAACATACAATAACTTGGACACCAGAGGCAATTTGCTTCCTATATTTGGCAACCTGGACCCATAAAACTCATCTGTTCCCCACAATGCAGAGCATTTTAATGGATTTAGCATCATTTAATTAAGCTTAAATGTAATTGCATGATGCTAAATCAGCCTGTTATCACTTTTAATCAGTAGTCAGAAGGGCATGAGAGATCACATATGCTCCATATATCCTGTTCTGGAAGCAGTGATACCTTCATCTGGACTGGGTTCTCCCAAGGAGTACATTTAGCTTTCTTCTTTTCTGTGCTCCTCTGATGCTGTGTGACTAGGCTCTTGGATGCCTATAGTAGTTGCCTTTCTCAGAGTCCTCTCTGCCTGGCAACTCACTAAACTCACATTTTGCAAGCCTCAGTGAGAAAGTAAGCAGGCGATACTTGGGCAGACACTGTTGCCAGGAGTACATTTAAACATCAGGGGACCTAGCCATCGTGCTAGCCCTTGTCTTTAAGCAGTTCTTGGGAGCCAGTCAGCATCAGCCAGTAGGAGGCTTTCCAGCTCAAGGCGTGCCAGGAACCCTCTGGTCCCTTTACTTGAAGTTGGATGGCTTTAGGTCAGGGGTGCCCACCTAGGTAGGACAGGAGCATTTTGTGAACCCTCATTGCTGAGCAAGTATAAAAACCAAACAAATATCCAGCATCTCTGGACAATTAGCCAATCCAAGAAATGCTATTGCTAAATAGACATAGAGGAAAGACACCAGCTGATGATCAGGAAACCTAGCCTTTAATCCTAGTTCAGCTTTGACTTTCCAACTGATCTTGGACAAGTGACCTCAGGCAAATCACCAAACTTGTCTGGGCCTCAGTTTCCTCATCTGTAAAATGAAGGACTCAGAAGAGATATTCTTGAAGGCTTCTTTTAGTATTAGTGTCTTATAATGATAGCTTATTTTAAAGTTTATGTTTTCCTCAAGACAGTGCCATCTACTACTACCCCTTCTGTTGATGCTTTCCTTTCCTTTTCAGATGACCTTTATTTATCCAATATGTATTAGCAGCTGAGGGGAGAGAGGGCAGAGCTGGGAAGAGTTGTTAAGAAAACATTTTGTAAAACTTAAAATGCTATATACATATGAACTTGAGCATTTTAGAATTTTAGAGCTAGAAGGACCTTCAAGATCATTATCTCCAAGCCTAAGTGGCACAGTGGATAGAACTCAGGGCCTAGAGTCAGGAAGACTTATCTTACTGAGTTCAGATCTGACCTCATATACGTTTAGCTGTGTGACTGTAGGCAAGTTACTGTTTGCCTCATTTTCCTCAACTTCAAATGGGTATAATAACAGCACCTACCTTGCAGGGTTGTTATGAGGAACAAATGAGATAATATTTGTAATAAGTGCTTAACACAGTGTTTGGCACCTAGTAAGTGTTATACAAATGCTTATTCCCTCTCTTCCAAACCCATAATTTTACAAATGAGAAAACTGAGGTCCATATATACTTTGCACCTTGTTAATTACAACTTGTCTTCCTCCCTAGAATTTATACTGTCTTTTGCCTTTATTTTAAATCCCCAGCACTTAGCACAGTGCCTGGCACATAGTAGGCACTTAATGAATGCTTATTGATTAACCAAAATTGTGTGAAGTATTGTAGTACAAGTTTAATTACTCCCCTCTTGCAGGAAAAGAAACCAAAGCTTTTTCAAGGTCACAGAAATAGTGATACTGTCAAAACTTGAACCCAGATTCTCTGACTGAATCAAGCATTCTTTCAACTATATCACTCTGCAGAAATGGGCTGCCTCAGGGAGCTAGACTTAAGGAGGAAGGTGGCTTGGTTGCCAGTGTTCATTTTCACAGCACACGCTCTCATTTAATTCTTACAAGGCAGCCTCATCAGAGACTTGTCCCACGAGCAATTTGGAACCATTATGTGGTGGCACGTCTTGTTCTAACAGATTTCATTTCATCCTTAGAATTAATAAGCTTTCTAACAGGCTCTATGCTGTTATCAGCTTTCCCAGGTGGACATAGGCAAGAGAAAGAAGAATGGCCCAGACAACAAAAGAGGCATCTCACAGAGTGAAGGGAATACATACTGAAGCAGACACATGGGTTTTCTTGTAGGACCTACGTACCGATCTCCATTAAGCAGAAGAATCTTTTCATTTAGTTGAACTTTTCCATATGGACATTTGAATACAGAAGCCAGGAACTTGAATTCAGGCAGTTTTATTGATCTCAGTACTGGTCACGTAGCAGGCACCTAATAAATGTTTGTTGATTGATTTTATTGATCTCATTTAGGATATTGGATCATAGACCTAGAGCAGGAAGGGATGGACCCAACAAACTTTCTAGTCATCTCTCTCCTCATTTTGTAATTGAGAAAACTGAGGCCAAGGAGGTTAAGTGACTTGTACAAGATTTCACTGGTAGTGAAGACCAGAGGTAGAATTTGGACTTGAGTCTTCTTGACTCCCAAGCCAGAGCTCTTGAGCACCCCTGGGAATAGAAAGACACAAGGAAACAGTGTTTGCCCTTAGGTAGTTTACCTACTGGGTAGCTTGATAGTGCAGTGGATAGATTACCTGGCCTGGAGTCAGAAAGACCTATGTTCAAATCTGGCCTCAGACACTTACGAGCTGTGTGACCCTAGGTAAGTCACTTAGCCCTGTTTGCCTTGTTTCCTGATCTGTGAAATGAGCTGGAGAAGAAAATGGCAAACCACTCTGGTATCTTTGCCAAGAAAACCCCAAATGGAGTCATGAAGAGGCAGACATGACTGAAATGACTAAATAGCTTACATTCTACCCCTGGAAAGGGGATCCTGGGAAGGGAGGCTTCCTGGGTTTCTGAGTGAAGGTCTTGAGGTAATTCCTACTAAAACACTTTCCTGAAACACCTCCAAAGGGCTGCAGATAATAACAATAATAATAACAGTAATAGTTAATATCTACTTTGCCCCTTGGAGGTCACTTTCCCCATCTGTAAAATGGAGATAATAGTCCTGGGTTTGGAGGATGATCCAATAAGCTTATGCATTCAAAGCCCTTTGCAAATGTCAAAATGCTATATAAATGTCAATAGTTTTTATCTTCACTACCCCAGCAACCCACACCCAGAGCCCAAGGCAGCTGGAGCCACAAGACCATCCCCAGTCTCATTACTCCTATTCCTCAGACAGGCAACCCTAGGAGATCCTTGCCTCATTCAGCACCCTCAGCCCTCATCCTGGATTTCCAGGGGTTCCAACCCTGTTAGTTACTAGTCTTGCGGAGTCCCACCAACTAGGAGGCCTCTCCACTCATATCCAAGGCTCTGATCTAGGATGAATCCTAATGTCAAAATGAAACATTATTAAATGAAGAAAAAAAACACCTATTCAGGTTCTAGTTCCAGCGTACCACTGACTGCCTCTATGTATGACCTTAGATTTATTCTTCCTCTTTTCTGAACCTCATTTTCTCCATCTGTAAAATGAAGGATTTAAGCTTAAAGAGACCAAAGGCTCCCTTCTAATTCTGTGATCTCTGGGTCAGGTGTTCTAAATGGCTTCATAGTCCCATGGAATTTAAAGCTGGAAGGAACCTTAAAGATAGACCAGTGCAACCTCTTCGTTTTACAGCTGAATTGAAGTGACTTAACCTATATCCTGTGGGTAGCAGGGAACAGAGCAGGGCCCCTCTGACTCTCAATCCAGTGCTCTGGCCACTACATCAGAGCCATACTGTGCTAGTTCAAAAGTTAGTTCCCAGTCTTTGCCTTTTGACTTGACAATAACAGAACTTTGCATCTTTATTGAATTGGTTTTTTTTTTATACTCCCAATAGAGTTGAGTGCTTTGAGAACATTAACAAATTGAGCATAATCCTGACCCTTTTCTGGTGCTCGAAATCATTGAATCTAGCTTAGAAACCTTCCCAGGTGTGGTTAATATTAATGACACCATAGAGTTTGAGCTGGAAGGTGCCCTAGGCAGGGGTTAATGGCACCCAAAGGCCCTTCTAGCTCTGCGTCTTTGTTCTTGGAACCTAGTCCAAACCCCTCATTTTACAGATGAGGAAACTGAGACCTGGGGAAGGGCAATGTCTTTGTTCAATGCCCCATCATGTGAGTAGCAGAACCAGAATTAGAACCCAGTTCTTCTCACTCCTGATCTTAGGTTAGGAGTCTCAAGTAAGAAGATGAAGTCAGGTTTCCCTTTTAAGACCCAAGCTAAGGCTGGATATAAGAATCAGTAAACACAGCTCGTCAACCCTCTAGCATTGCCCTCCTTCACCCTGAGTGTTGCTTACTGTACCCACTTTCACTTTAATGGCTTACAATCTCTCAAGATGTCAATCCTCATTCTATTTCCTTCAGTCCTGTATCCCTCCCTGCCAATTAGCTGGTGGCAGCCGGTGACAGATGAGGAAACCAGCAGCACCAGAGAATGCCAAGGGTGATTTTTAAAGCTGAAATAATTTGGTTATTAGCAAGTGTAATGATCATTCCTATGGCACCCATCTGGTTTCAAATTATATTCACTGTGTAGCTTATGCAAGGAACTACAGGTGTAGGAACTAACATTTATGGGTGTAAATAGAATTCTATAATGCTAAAGAGGGCAAGGCTTTTTTGGTCATTCTTGACACCTTCTCTGGGGGTGACTGAGACATAGGTGAAAAAATGCTTTGTGTGAGGGAGTGTGTGTGTGTCTGTGTGTGTGTGTGTATCTAGGTGGGTGTGGGTGGTCTGGGAATGTAACTCACTACTCTCCCACTAAGTTGCTCCATCTCTCTGTTTCAGCCCCAGGATGAACACCTCAGGAATTTTTGTAGGTTGCTGGGGGTTGAGCACAGTCAGATGCAACATTGGCTCTGCCACCGAAAACTGGTGACCACTTCTGAGACCTACATCAAGACCATGTCCCTGCAGCAGGTGGTCAATGCCAGGAATGCCCTGGCTAAACACATCTATGCCCAGATGTTCAACTGGATTGTGGAGCATGTCAATAAGGCTCTGCACACCACCCTCAAGCAGCACTCCTTCATTGGGGTCCTCGACATCTATGGGTAGGCTTTTGAGAATTCTCTACCCTAGCTTCTTCTTCATAGAGTATTATGGTTATGATTGTGATTATTACTGTTGTTATTACTTAATAACAACATGTATATGGTGACTTAAGATTTGCAAAATGCTTTACAAATATTATTTTATTTGAGCCTCACAACAACCCTGTGAGGTAGTGTCATTATTAGCCCCATTATACAGTTGGAGAAACTGAGGCATGCAAAGGTTAAATTACTTACCCAGGGTCATACAGCTGGTATGAATCTAAGGCAGGATTTGAACTTAGGTCTTCCTGACTCTGAGGCTAGTGCTCTATCCACTGAGCTACCTAACTATTGCAGAGGGAGGCCTCAGGGTGAAAAGGAAAGAGAATTATATGAGGGTTTTGATTTAAATCCCAGCCCTGATGCTTATTACCTGTATGAACATGAGCAAGTCATGTTACTTTAATGGTACTATTTCCTTATTTGTAATGTAAAGGGACTAGATAGTCTCTTCTAACCCTAAATCTATGATCTCATGATCTAGAATAGACTACAGCTGTCTTACCCCACACTTGATGGAGGAGGAAAACAGGACCAGAGAGGTTAAGTAATTTTTACAGTCACACAGCTAGTAAGTTGTAAGAGCCAGGGCTGGAATTCAGATCTCTTAATACTAATAGCCCACACTTCCATACCTCTCCAAAGTTTATAATGGGCTTCCTTATAGCAACCTTGAGAGCTCACTTTACTGTCCTATTTCTGTTTTGCTGTTAGAGAGGTTAAGTGATTTGTCCAAGATTCCACAAATACTCAGTATCAGAGCCCAACATTCAAACTTAGATCTCTCTCAGTTCCACTATGGCATGATTCCTCAACAGGCTTATCATTAGACAAGGTGACTTTGGAAAACTTTTTTCTATGCTATGTACATTATACATAGGAAAACCTTATTTCAGACTCTGTGTTGCATATGAGATGTGTGTTAGATGGAGTCACTTCTTGTGTCCTGCCCCTGGGCCACCATGGGCTGCAGCTAAATATTGAGTTCATTGGAAAAGTTTTTTTTTTCTTTTGACAAAAAAATCTCATATTGTTAAGTGTTCTGGCTAGGAGAAGGTGATATGTTAGATTGTGAAAGGAGACTAGACTTATAATCAGGAGACTAGTAAATAGCTCTGTGAGAGTGGTCAAGCCATTCAACCTCTCTGTGCCTCAGTTTCCTCATCTATAAACTGAATTAAATTAGGTCCTTTCCAGTTCTGGGATACTGTGATATTGGGGTTTGAGAAACAGTACCCTTGATCCCCATATGAATAATTAGACTTATCTTCTCAGCCACTGGAAGATTTCGGCTTTGAAGAATTTTAGGAGGTTTTGTTTTTAAAGTTTGGTGACTTTAACTGCTTGCCCTCACAGGAAGAACATTGTCAGAACAGGGTAATCATCCTAATGGGGGATTTTAGATCTCTGGCAATAAAAGGCTGGGAATGAGCCCTTGAGGCCTCTACCTTGGTAGAGGTCCCAGGGCATTATCAGATAAGTTCCAAGAGAATGTTACACCTAAATCCAAGGAAGATCACAATGATGTTTTTTACCCCATGGGGCATGCTCCTCCATTGGAACCAGTCCATTACAAAAGAGTTATCAGTTGGGTAAATTGGGATATGGTCTTCTTTGCACCTGCACTTTTCTTTTTCTCTGACCTAACTTCTTCCTATGGGGAGGCCAAGAATAGATTAATGCCTATTGGATCTTTAAGTTATAAAAGTAATGGCCTCTGACTAAAAATAGAGAGCCTGATATTAGCACGGAAGCACCCTCATGCCTCAGTGAACAACTGCTGAGTGGGCTGAAACCAGGCAGTCTCCAAGAGAAGTGTGTGTTGAGACCACTGTAATGGGAAATCCTGTTGAGCATGGAGACTCAGACTAGGAGGATTTGGTATCAAATGCAATGACCTGTTCACTTTTTTTATTTTTAATTTATGGAATAAAACAAGTATTTCCGTAATATAGTATAATTTTTAAAAAATGATTGCACATGCAGCTGCAAATCTATTATGACTTGGTGTATTCACTTTTAAAAAAATCTTATTAATCTGCTGTGTGACCATTGCTCATGTATAGAATTAACAGAATGGTAATGTAGAAAGAGCATGAGATGGGAATCAACCAAAATATTCCAAGGTTTCCCCCAACCCCCTCCCAGGGAGCCCCCCTTTATAATAAAGATGAAAGAAAAAATTGAACAAAACTAACCAACAGGAGATGATAGGCTTAACATTCATGAGAACAATAACAATAATAATAGCTTGCATTTTTGTTGTGCTTTAAGGTTTGCAAGAAATAACATACATTATTTCATTTGAACCTTACAACAATCCCTAAGGAAGGTACTAATATTGTAACCTTTTTATAGATAAGGAAACTGAGACTGAGAGAGATTATGACTTGCCCCAGGTTCACACAGCTGAGTAATTGTCTGAAGGAGGATTTGAACTTTTGATGATTTTTCAATCCAGCACCTCATCTATTGTGCCATCTAGCTGCCTCAATCACAGAGAAAAGACAAAGAAACTGTTAGGACAGATGATGGTGTCTACAACCAGTAGTAAAGCACCCCCAGAGAGACAGGAAAGAACAATAAAGCCATCTTCCCTGGGTCCCACTAGACCAAGGTGGAGAATCTGCCACCTTGAGGCCTCTTGTGGCCTTCTAGGTCCTCAAGTGCGACTGATTCTTTGACTGAATCCTTTTATTAAGGAGATTTGTTCTGTGAAGTTTGGATTCAGCCAAAGGGCCATACTTGAGGACTTAGAAAGCCACATGTGGCCTTGAGGCAGCAGGTTCTCCACCCCTGCATTAGACTATTCTTGCTGAGGGTGCACTGGAACTCCTAGTTAGGCAGAAAGATCTGGAGAGTTTCTAAGCCTCAGCTAGAGAACATGAAAGATGGCAAATGCCTTCTGAGCCTCAAGCTATAGTGAGGAAGAAGCAAGAAAAACTACATATAATCACCTTTCCCCTGAAAGAAGCAGCCACAAGGAAGAAGAGTCTGTGCTCTAAAACTGCCATATTGTGTGTGTGTGTGTGTGTGTGTGTGTGCATGTGTAGTTTTCCCCAACTTCGAAATATATAGATTGCTTTGACTCTCCCTACTTCCCCATGATATGACTACATAGCGTGTCTCAAAAGTTTTAAGTTTTAAGAATTTAAAATTGCACTAAATTGAAACTGTACCAAGAGTTTTGGAACACCATGCACAGAAGTGTTTTGTTTTCTCATCATCTACCTGAATTGGTGTAGAAGTTGGTCTTCTTTTTCTGCATATAGACAACTAAAATAATTGCCTAACAAACCATTATCTTCTTCAAGGAACAACCTAATTTTCTGTAAAATAGGGAGAGGGAGGATACCTATAGTGATCCATACTATAGACTGACTTTTCTCAAGTTTAGTCTTGGAGGTCTACTAAACTTGCATGTTTTTTCCCTAACCAATCCTACTGATTAGTTACAGTTTTTGTGTTCCAAAAGCTGGCTTAATGTTTTACAAATTGAGTGATTTTTACAAATCACCAAAGTCCTGAACTCATTTTCATAGCTGCTAATTAGTTAATTCATTTTCTATTTTTCTTTGATCTTGGCTAATTTTTGCTCCCATTATGAGCTGATGAAATACTTCTTCATACTACCGAAGGGGTATAAAGTTTTATAGTCAAACAGGTGGGAATTGTATCCTTCAAGAGGAAAAAAAAAATCAGAAAAGACAAAAACAGTTCCCGCTCTCAAGAAGCTCACATTCAAATGAGGAAGACTATATGTGAATAACTAGGTAAACACATGATGTATACAGAATAGATGGAGGGAAAGACACTAATGGCTGGAAGGACCAGGAAAGGTCTCCTGCCAGAGATGGTATTTGAACTGAGTCTTTAAAAGAAGCTAACTAGTAGAAGTAAGGATAAAGAGAATTCCAGGCATGAGGGACAGCCAGGGCAAAGACGTGGAGATAGGAAATGCAGAGCTGTGAGTGAGGAAGGAACACCTTTGGGGCATAATATGTAGGTTAGTGGAGCAAAATTGTGGAGTACATGGATGGGAGTAAAGCGTACAAAGACTAGAAAGGTAGGAAGGACTCTGGTTGTGAAGAGCTTTAAATGTCAAGCATAGGACCTCTTGTTTGATCCTGAAGGTAATAGGGAGCCACTAGGGTTTACTAAGGGGGTGGGAGGGAAGGATGGTGTGACATAACAAGCCTATGCTTAAGGAAAATTACTTTGGCACCTGAGTGGAGAATGGATTGGAAAGGGGAGAGACCTGAGACATGGGGACCACTTTGGAGGCTTTTGCAGGAATCCAGGCAAGAGGTGATGAGGACCTGAACTGGAGGTGGCAGTGTGAGTGGAGAGGACTGACAGAAATGTCACAGAGGGAGAACTGAGATTGGGCAGTGGTTTGATTGTGTGGGGTGAGTAAGAGTGAAGAGTAACTGGAGCGAAGGCCCTTGGCAAGTGTAAATAGTCAAATGTAGGGAAGTCAGCTAATGCAGGAAGGGTTGATAGATTGGCAGAGCCTATAATAATAAGTTTATAGGATCAGCACCAGTGAAACTCTTAAGAAGGGTTGGTATAGTTAACTTTGAAGACAGAGGGGCAGAAGATATTATTCTCTGCTTTGTTTAATGCTGCCTGCTAAGGAGGTGTAGGGGCAGGTAGGTGGGCAGTGGATAGAGCACTGATCCTGGCTTCAGGAAGGCTCATCTTCCTAAGTTCAAATCTAGCCTAGACATTCACCAGATGTGTGACTCTGGACAAAACACTTAACTCTGCCTCAGTTCCTCATCTGTAAAATGACCTGGAGAAGAAAATGCCAGACCACTCCAGTATCTTTGCCAGGAAAACCCCAAATGGAGTCATGAAGAGTTGGACATGACTGAAATGATTCAGCAACAACAACAAGGTCTAACCCTGGGCCTGGTGGGCCTATGCTTACACTCAGGAGGTCCACAAGTGAAGCC